TATATATGTTTTATGTTAAAATTGTAGATAGTTAGCATTTGGATGGCCTGATGGCAAGTATTCACCATGTTCAATATGAAGCTTGCGATACCAAAAAAATAACTCACCTTGATTCTCCATTACAATGCCCACCCACTACATTATGAACCCGACCTACTGTAACTTACGCTATATGTTATTAGCGCTAGTCTGCATTGCACGGTTCCTGTGATGTGCGGAGCGCAGGCTGGGCAATGGACAATCACCGCCAGGGCCACGGAGCACTTCATTCCCGCGATTTCAACCCACATCGGGGGGCCCAGAATCTTCATATTGCATGTCAGGTGACAGGTGTATTTTCAGGTTTTACCCTCGTCGCATGCTCCTGATGGCGAAAGAAGGCGAAGTAACCCTTTTCTAGAAATTATTAAAAAAACAAAATACCTTTATATTGTTTAAACAAAGACATCACTAGTTAACTATTATAAAGTGTAATCTGCACATACGCAGAATTTTGTTACACAATTAACGGCAAATCGCATAACGGCTGAACGGATTTTAATGAAGTTTGGCACACTTGATTAGCTAGATACAATCACGTAGAAGACTTACGTTTTATCCTGAAAAAAAAAGCTATTTTAAGTCAGTGTGAAATAATGTAAAGTGTAGAATAAAGGAAAATAGAATTACAATGCGTACTGGTGGATCCATGGTTTTCTGAAATTTTGTCTCTATAATATAAAGTCTAGGCGGTCGAAATCAAGGGGCAAGTCTAGTTTACAAAACAGTTACTTAAACCAACTAAAATGATATAACAAAGTTGAAAAGAACATGAAAAATATATGACGCTTACAATACGACAACGTTCAGTACGAGACACTCCTCAGACTGCACGTGAAAAGTCGAAACAAAGAATTACTACAAGGTTTTTCTACCCCAAGTGCAGCAAAAACCTAACTTTACCTGTAGCTAACAATAGGTGGACTCGAATCGCGACGATAGCCAATGTGGTACACAAACTTTATATATAATACCTATATCTTATAATCGTATAGGCCGGCAGCCTAAACCCTAACCCAACTCAATAAAATCCTATAACTTTATTCACCAACAAAAATACAACACAACCAAAGCCATCAACATCATGATGTTGATGCCTTTGGTTGTATTGTATTTTTGTTTTGGGCCATGGCCCACTGTATCAAAATTCTTTAATAAAAATCAAAATCAAATCATGTTGAAACCTCTTTTTATCTGCATTAAATTTAAACAATTGAAAGAACTCTATTTGTTTTATATGTTTACATATAAAACAAATAGAGTACAAATAGATATATAGAGTACGAACAAATATAATTCTAGGTAAAGTTTGTTCTCAAACAAAACAATCACCAATTGTAGACAATACTCCATAGTATATCGCGTTCACTTGTTAATAAGCGTTTTCGTCAAGACCCTTTTTTAATAAGCGCGTTATAATAACGGAGATTGTAATTAACGCAACTTCCTCTTTATTGTTTCAGGTTAACGACTTAATTAAGCAGAAACTTTAATATCAAAGAGTGGCTTGTACACTGTTAGCTAGCATGAACTGTTTTCACGGGCGAATACTGGTGCAAACACTTAGTGCTTATGACATGGTTAATTTTAAGCACTACCGTCTACGTACTTGTGTTTCAGTAATAATAAAGTTAATAAGTGTACACTGTTTAGTCCAGTCAGTATTGTCGCGAAATCCGTTTTTCCTCAAACAGCTGGAACTATGCTAAAAAGTTTCTTAAGATAGTAAAGAACACTTTACATAGAGAAAAAAATGTTTCCAACCCCGGGCAAGGGTGAAAACCACCCTTAATAATCTATTTTTCCAATTATCTCAAAAAGTATACGAGATACGGAAAAAAACTTCAAATGAAAATTGTAGATCTTTTTGAAATCTACAAAACATTATTCCACCCTCTTGCCCCTATTTTCAATAGGGGAGCCAATAATCGAAGTCAAAGATTCAATACTTAAAAAGTTAAAGTTAGTTAAAAAAGTTATCTTTGACTTCGATTATTGGCTCCCCTATTGAAAATAGGGGCAAGAGGGTGGAATAATGTTTTGTAGATTTCAAAAAGATCTACAATTTTCATTTGAAGTTTTTTTCCGTATCTCGTATACTTTTTGAGATAATTGGAAAAATAGATTATTAAGGGTGGTTTTCACCCTTGCCCGGGGTTGGAAACATTTTTTTCTCTATGTAAAGTGTTCTTTACTATCTTAAGAAACTTTTTAGCATAGTTCCAGCTGTTTGAGGAAAAACGGATTTCGCGACAATACTGACTGGACTAGTTGTGATTTTGTTTTGCTTTGGTTATTTCTCCCGTGCTGGACTAAAAGGAAAAAGAGAAAATTTTATCCGCCATGTGTATGTTTCCCCGCTGAGAAAACATGAAATGTATTAAGGATCCAGAGAGTGACGGAGGCTGTAGTTGATAATTAAGCATCATCTTGTAAGTGTTGTTTATTGAATTTATACTGTGTTTGTATTTATACTGATACAGCAATCAAAATGCAGGTGAACAATTAATGTATAATTTCACATTATGTAATGAAAGGTGACTTCATGAATCATCTTTGAAGTCATTTTTCAACTTGACGACTCTGTAAATGATAAAACAGGGAGAAAAAAACAGCCCTTGCTGAGTTTCTTGCCGGTTCTTCTCAGTACAAGGTCTCCCGCCGTAGATTTACGAACCGATGGCGTAGCTTCTAGACATTCATATGTGCTTGTAACAGCCTAAACTGAATAAATAATTTTGATTATGAAAAAAACCTTCCATGTAAATTGGGGAGAGGTAGAGTACAGCAGATTTCCCACTTGAATTAAAGCAGCTGTCTGGAGAACAGGACGGATAGTAACTTTTGGGGGAGTCACGTTCCTCTCGGTGAATAATCGAGTCTGAAACGTTCAGGACTCCTCGAGGTAGGATTGGGGTCAAGGTTGGCAACGCGCGAGCGATACATTACTATCGCAAGTAGTGTTGCCAGGTCCGATTTGTTTGGAATCGGTACATGAGGTCAAAACAATCAGGATTGCAGATCGGGACAGTTAACAAAAAACAAGGGGTTTTTAAGTCTGGGTTTAATTTATTGAGTTTTAAACTACAAGTGCTAGTATAGTATTAAATTATTTACCTAAATTTCATTTTTTGATTAATCGGGACATCTAGCGTCCCGATCAGGTACAAATCGGGACGCGTCCCCAGATCAATGAAAATCGTGACGTCCCGCGGAAATCGGGGCACCTGGCAACACTAATCGCAAGCGTCTATAGCCTCTTACATAGAGCAACACGGAAGGGAGTAGCTATAGAGACAATTATTTACTATTCAAATCATTCTGCCATTTTTTGTGGGGCTGAATATGCATACAAATACAATTTAACGTACATGCGTAAAAAACAAAACTGTATCTAGTACGATACTCAGACATAACAATGGGTCAATACACCGCCAAATCCTGCACACATGCATCGTTCGGATGCCCAATTCGGCAGAGGGGAAAGCTGTGTATGCCTACTCCCCGGCCGAGTTTCTGTAAGGCCGCTTACGATCACGCTGACAATATGCTTGTTCTTCATCCCTTTAACATAAAATATGTAGCTTTATTGATGTTCTAGCGGCCGCCTGCATCTTCGTCCGCGTTCAATTTAGTTTTTTGAGAATCCCACAGGTACCGGATATTTTTCCGGGATAAAAAGTCAACTATATTCGTACCAAATTTCAGACAAGTAGGTTTTGCGTGATTGAGTAACAAACAAACAAACTCACTTTATAATATTACTTAGGATTATTAATTATTATTATAGTAAGATCTCAAGCATAAGTACTGAGTTTCAAGTTAATTGAATGCGCATAAATTCGTTCATATAAAAATTTTGGCACTCTCCATTCCCTACTTTAGTGGTTAGTTTAACCAAACTAAAAATGTCAAACTTTATAATTTATTTAGATAAGTTTTAAGTCTATTATTTATTCATGTAAAAACTTCTTCATTCTCCCAATCTCCTTTTGAAGCTTAGGAAAACTAAAAAAGGCAAACTTAAACAAAATATGGAGTCATATTTTTTTCTTTTGTGAATTCACCAAAAAATTACAATTTTAAAGCACCTCAAAGTTTGAAAGTGGTCGAGGACGTCATTTCTAAATAAAAATTGTACCGAGACATGAAGTCGTGCGACATTTTTCAAAAATGCAATTTATGTAAATTGAAAAAAATGTATCTCCCCTATAGACGAAGAAAATAAAAGTTAGTTATCATCCCTATTTATACTGGGTGGCCACCTGGTGGGTCATAGTCATGACCTGTTCTCACTATTTCAGCCTGTAACCCAGCAGTGTGGATATTAATATGATGATTTTTTCTTTGTTGAATTGTAAGATGATCAAGTTTTAACATTTCATGAGCAGGCAAGTATCTTTCATTGTTATGAAAATGTTTTAACAGAAAAAAAACACAATTCAGCTATACTATCAATACAATAAAAATATTTTTCATGTACATTATATTTATTAAAGTAAAGCCTGTATACCATAATTACTAAGTCGAAGACATACTCATGGACCGATACTGAGCCGATGACAAAAGAAAAAATTACAATTGCCAACTTTGCGGCTCAGAATTTAATATGAACAAGTGAAAAAAACGAAAATTACTAAACTTTAATATTTTGCAGTAAGACATGCAAAAACTTCAAAACGTTTCACGAAAATTACTCCAATTTAATCAATAAATTAAAGCAAATTAACTACACTTCCTGAAAATCTCATCACAATACCTGATAAAGAATTGAAAATATTACAGAATGGGTCTTAAAATCATTGACATAGAAACTATATTTCACAGCTTAACACTAGAATTGGAACATTCGTATCTTATCATCCCTCACGTAACTGCAATGTATAAGGTATCCTTGGTATAAGAAAAAATGTACAATAATTGGTTCTGGCCGCACCGGCCGCTTCTAACGTCGAGTATATAAGCTAGTTGCGCAGGAGTCTGTGATCAGTCAGTTCTTAGTGGTGTGCTAAAATACACAACTTATTTTCAACATGAAATTCTTGGTAAGGATATATTTTGACATAAGATTTAGGTATAGTAAACAAACATCAAGTTGTGTGTGTTCCGAAAAATTAAATAAATATATTCAAATTTAAACAAAAATATGTTTGATACAAATTATTATCTTATTTTTTTGTTATTTGTTTCTAATTAAGAATTCGTGTTAAATCATTGTCTCAGTGCTAATTACTGAATTACTGAAAAAAATCATTAAAGTCAAATTTATTATGAATAATAATTACATTAAGAACAAAAATACACTACCGCTTCCAGTGTTGCATACTCTGTGAAAATTACAAAGTTACAATTTCATCATGTATTTCTAAAAATTAAAGAAAAGAGGTACCTAATAAGATCATTAACTATATTGAAACTGAGGTATATTAAAATAGCTAGATGTTTAATCATAGTAAATTATATGTTTCGATTCAAACTGCCAATATGTCATAAGGCGTAGCTGAAATCTGAATCTATATGTCAATCCTAAATCAGGAAAATTTGATTAAATAAGTTATATTTTCCATGTACCTATATCGTAAAATTAATCGGTATAGTTTGTATTTTGTAGGGATCCGGTTTAAGAAAAACCTATTAACTTACTAGTTTTAAGTATATATTTGAGTAAAAATACTTTGTTAATTTCTAAGGTTCGTAGATTTTCATTTTTGTAATTTTATTCGAACATCCTAAACAGCCATCTTTTTAATGCAGAATAGAAGTAAAGTTGAAGTTCAAACGTATAAGTAAATTAAGAGAGAAAACCAAGAGACTTGCCCAGGTGGGAGAATTGAACCTTTTTAAAATTGTTTTTAAATTAAGCGCAAATAAAACTTTATTTTGTTCATTGGTCACATGCGAGACGCCAATCACAGCAAAACAGGATCTCGCATGAGATCAATGAATGAATTGACGTTTTATGTGCGCTAAATTTAAATGCAGTTTTGAAAAATGCTTTTCTCATCCACCTGTCAAACAACGCTATAAGAAACAGAATTACTCTAAACTCATCGACCGTTAAACATCCGATGTAACTGAAGAAAATAAACGCCCCATCATTACCTGTACGGTGTCTAGCCTTAAATTATCCTTTGTTTAGTCATCGGAAGCGAATGTTTCGCCACTCCGCATTGTTGACTGTGTCCATGGAGTTGACACACTGCACAATTAATGTTGGCACACGATCAAACACTAACATTAAGGACTACACAACCTTGCGGTGTTGTAACTGAAAAGCTAAGGGCTACTCTTTTTTGCTAATAAAGGTGATTTGGCATTCTCCTTATCTGTATCATAAGTGCGTTCTTCAAGATAGATTTTTCTTAAGTCCCGCAGTTTTTCACTAGATAGTGCTCTTCAAATCTCAAACATTTAAAGTTGAAGCGATTGCGATAGAATAAAATAAAAAATCGCACTAAGCTCTACATTAAAAATTTACTGAACAAAAATTATAAAAAATATTTTCGCGTTGATTGAAAATAGGATTTGTAACTGGAACCTTTTGTTGTTGAGTAAATTGAATTGTCAAAATTGAATATTTACAAATTGTTTTTCCGCGTACATTTTTATTAATTCGTCAAAAGAATGCGAACCAGTTTCTAATAACGTAGAGTTTGTCCTGTCCTAATCAGAATCCACTTCCTCTTCAGGGCGTATTGCAATAACAATATTTTTCGGAGAGGGTCGCAAATTATAATAAAATAAAGCCTATGAAAGAACGCCTCCCTTTCAGGAAGAAAATCTCATTTTGCCTGGTCGAGACGTCAGGTTAGCGGTCGTCAGTACGCCCAATGTTTTTGTGGCAGAAACGTCAAATTTTTTGCTTTCAATTCTAAAGTTGACATAAATTATGTCTGTACTTGGTCTGTATTTTCACTATGTTTCGGAAAGGTTATATACCCTTTAAAATTGCGTAAAGTACTGAATTATAAATAATTAAACAGAATTATTTTTAATCAAAAAAGAGGAACACGAAATAAATGTAATTTCAACGTTGGGTAGGTACTTAAATTTATACAATTTAGTCTTAGGCCCTTTCATGGAAATATTAATTTCAAAATCATCTTCTTATAGTAATATCAAATATAATATTCATCTATTCGTTACGGCAAACGATACACGAAACAAAGTATAAAAGAAAATTACTTTTTAACGCGACTCTCCTGAGTGCAGTAAAAATATTTACCGTAATAACATCTTTGGAGGTATGAATATCTTCATAAAATAAAGCAATCATTCCTCCTTTGTACGGAAATATGGGTAATATAACGCCACTGTTACAGCAACTTTAATAACTTAATAATTTTACTTAAAATATTTAAAAAACGATAATTGTTATTACGGTTGAATAGACAGATACGTATAAAAAAGACGGGGTTCTAAAACGTATATAAGAAAGAAAAAGCCACTTGTATTAGGGTCAGATAAGGCAACAACGCCTTTTCTGTTCAAAACCCAGCAAACTATACCCACAGCTCAACCTGAAGACACGTGTGAGTGACACTTTTGTGACATTACAGAATACAGATATTAGTTTTCAGCCACAGTATTATGTACTGTGGAAGATATTGCCTTACTTTGTAGCTTCAGTTCAAGCAAAGAATTAGCTGTCCTCTGTGTCTCTTAAAACCTTAATTTTTTATTCATTATATTTGTTAATGTTTTATTTGTCATAGGGAATTATCGATAACATATTTAAAAAAAAATGTATAGGTCCTCTTACTGTCGAATTTTTATACGTTGTTTAAAGCATAAGCTTTTTTGTTTGTGTAGTTCACTATAATTTAGTGATTTTCAAAAATACCGATAGAATCACACGGGAGAACATATTTCCAAGAACCACCCATATTAAAAGAAACTTAAAGTAATCGAAACTTTTTTTTTCAGATCGTCGCAGCTCTCGCTGTTGCCGCGGTGTGCGCGGAAGAGGCCAAAAAGACAGAGAAGCGTGGCCTCGCCGGCCTTGGCTACGGCTATGATGGGCACGGCCTTGGTTACGGTGGTGGCCTCGGCTACGGGGGTGTGGGCTATGCTGGTGGTCTCGGCGGATTGGGATACGGAGGTTACGGTAAGCATTTACCCTTTCTTCAGACAAACCTTTTTTTGGCTTAGAATAAATAGCGGCTATGCAAAAATTATTAATTGAAAATAGAATGACTTGTTTTCTTTTCAAAACTTTATTTGCCTTTATTTCAAAATTGGAATGAGATAAAAACTTGACAAAGTAAATGTCAAAAAATCTTTATACCACCAGTGAAGGATATTTTTTAGCCGTGTAGAAAAACTGGCGAAAAAACATCAGAGCGTTAAATAATTATATAACAATATTTACAAAACTAGCGGCCCGCCCTCGCTTCGCTTCGGTGTAGAGCTGAAGTGTAGACTACAGTTTTTGTTCTCAGGCTTGTATTATACACAATGACATTCATCTATGATTCTTCTTATACGTGCATGCAAAGTCTCAGCCTGATAGGTTTAAAATTGACAAAGTTTCATACAAACTTTCATTCCCTATTTTATCCCCTTGCGGGTAGAATTGATCAAAATCCTTTCTTAGTGGATGCCAACGTAGAAATAGTAGAAGCTTACACAAAAACCTTTAAATGAATTGTTTATTTTGTGGAGCCTTGTAATTGGTACATTTAATTTATTTTTATTTTTAGTATTAAGCGAGTGCTTATCACTATTAAGTAATATAATAGGAAACAATGTAATATTTTTTTGAACAACATAATTTTTTTATAAATGAACTGTGAAGCAACATTCATTATGTAGGTTTCTTTAATTTTTTCTCTTAAAGAGTCTCAAATCTTAATATTGTAAATTTTATGTGACCATATTTCATAGTTTGCCTAGATATTCAATTACAACGAAATCATTTAGGTGTTACTAATGCCGCGTTATTTTCGTTAAAAGTTAAATTTGAGTATCGTTAATGTCATGACAAATACACAATAAAATGTGTCAAATTTTGACAAATGATACTTTTATAGTATTATAAGAATAGTCAAATTTAACTGTGACTCAAAAAACGCGGCCTTATAACAAATACAGTAAAAGTAAATATTCCAAACAAATAAAAACAGTAAAAGTAAATAATTTTAATTGTAAATAAAAGTAATTTGTGTGTTTATAATATCATTAACATATATATACGAAGTAAGATTGCCGACAACTTTAAATTCCACATGGAGCAAATCGAACTCCAATTTGTAACAATTCAATCGGATAACTAGATTCCTCACGAAAGATAGATATCTCATGGAACTTGAGGTTCAGTTCAGTCCAACTTTAAATTGGCCAAAAGGTTTGGATATCGGCCCGTGACGAGGTTCCTATAGCGTTTCCAGTAGTTTGTATTCATAGAGTTAGTGCTCATTTTCTTGAATTTTAATAGTTTTTGAGTCTAATAGAGTATGGTTCTAATAGAGGTTAATAGGTAATAGGTCTTTTTTCAGTTGCCACTTAAGAATATTGTTTTGAATATTTGATGTATGAGAAATCTACATTAAAATTGTTCCAACGTTTTATTTCCTATCTACATCTAAACGTAAGTTATTTTCCTACATAACAGCTTTACTATATATAACATACTGCTAAAAGCAAAATATTGACTGAATTCAATAATAATTATCAATATTACTTCATAACTTTGTAAACTTACTACTCGTCTTAAATAAATAGAATTAGAGAATAGAATGGCAATTTCAACACATGCAATGTCGAAAAAAAAATTACCTAAAAAGTGATAGCCATTCGATGACCAAGTTGTGAGAAAGTTGCTTAAAATTCAAAAACTTAACTGCTAAGGTATTGAAACTCCTAGACCGTACACTTAATACTTATATGTATTTTAAAAACTTTTCTTAGATCCGAACCGTGCAATGGATACGATAAACTAACATTAGTGGCGCAATAAAACAGCAGTTAAGTGCACTGAGAGCAAATCGCTCCGTAAGATTAATACCGGAGCAAAATGAAATGGTCGTTTCTAGTGCTCATTATCTCTTGAAAACTATCCAGCTCTTATGCCAGGGGCGTAGCCAAGGGGCTTACAATTATAACATGCCGATGAATAAAATTTGAATACGCAAGTCTGGAAAGGTTTGAGATAATGGCTGAGCGTGAAATATGGAAAACATAAATATGATGCAGATCTATGCTCACTCGAAAATAAAATTCTGAACAAGCCATACTTTATAGTTTACACGATAATAAACTTTATGCCACGCTAAATCAGATGAATGAGGTGTGATGAATTTTTGATTTAGAAATACCCTTCGAGACGCACCCAGTGGCCACTTTTTCTCGCCAAAATATAGAAAAAAGTTAAATAAAGATTGAAAGTTTTCAAAATAACAATCAATCTATAAAATAATTTTGTTAATACATGATAAAATAAATCAATACATACTAAAACTTTTAAGATCAAAATAATATTAAAAAACCAGCTACGTGTAGTTATTGTCGCAAACTGTTCTGAATTCCATCCAAATAATAAAACTCTCAGATACTATAGACAAAGCTCCTTGCAGTTAGAATAGCTCTTCAGCGTGCAAACAATTATTTCAAATGTGCACATAACTGCAACAAATCTAATTTTATAAGAGAACCAAAATTCATTTTCTGATGAAATCAAAACTGTGCATATTTGAAAGAATTTTCTCATTTCAACAGACATGCAGATAATAATATATTCAAAGTGGGCTCTTATGATACTAAAAAGAAACGCACAATCCGGTAGAGTGTTATTTTACTTAAATTATACTTACTATTTTTTGTAAAAAGCAACATTAAAATCATGAAAAACAATTGAACAGCGACAAAATGTACCATTGTGCGCTCTCATTGGTCAAATTAAATAGCGCGTGCTTTCTCAGCTTCCGGTTACACAAATTAGTACCTTTACACAATATATCTCCCATATATTGTATAAAAGCAAAAGGAAATATGTTACACATTTAATAAACATAAAATTAATTATTATGAGCTACCTTGAGACCCGTTATAATTATTTAATTAACGATAAATTTCGTCCGCGCTCTGAGTCTTTACTAAACTTATGAATTGGGTAATAATGGGCGATTTTATTTTGCAATGACAATAACATAGGACAATACATAACCTAATGAAGCAATAAAATGAAGTTGTCTTCCCTACGACGATGTTAATAGATACCTCATTATATTTTACTACGAAATTTTTTCTCTCTTTTATCATACATCATTTTCCTAAGTAAACTTACGTTTGAAAGATATTACGTTTCAGAAGGCTTTTAACACTTCTTATTAAGAATCTGACATGATTGATCACTAAAAACTGGTTTTATTATGACTGCGACGAGTACTTATGGTGATGAACGTCAAATTTCGTCAAAATTGAACGAACTCGCTACCTAGAATATTAAACGAGCTACCTACCTACTATAGAGTTCTACCCAGAATGGATAGAACCTGGGGACGTGCTTATTAATTAAACGATACTGGTAGAGATAAATTATTTATTTCTTTTTATCATTCAGGCGAATATAAAGAAATTTTATCTAAATACGAGAGGAAGTTCTTGGTGCCTGAAGATCTAATCTAGAATGGAACCTTCTATCAAAAGACAGACGATTCCTTATTTCAAATCTTAAAATCATGACATTAACTTTTTTTAATATAACTGCCAACCGTAGGCATTGCAAAAGCAAAGAGTTTACCTAAACAAGGAGGTTATAACGTTAAGGACGTTACATCCCTCCGGCACCTCTAAAAAAAAAAATTGTTTTGTCATACCAGATGACCGAACAAAATTTTTTTTTCCTACCTACTACATCGAGAGGGTTCGACAGTCCTATCTAAAATCCCTACCTGCTTAAGGACATAAATACAACTGGGAGGTGGCCTTTACTACAGACTAGCCCTCACAATAAGTTTGCAAAACTTGCAAAAAAAAAACTTTACGGGAAAAGAACCCTAACTGTTTGCAAAGTTTTATTGCAAAGACTACGGGAGCAAAACCTTAACAAAATCCCTCGCACATCTCCCTCCTAACCTTAACTTTACTTTACTTTACATCGACATCAGTCGGCAAAAACAAAAAAACAAAGCTAACCCTAGCTATAACTTAAATTACCCAAGCAATTTTTTTTTTATCCCATCTATCAGCAAAACTTTACCCTATCCCATTTATTAAACCATTAAATATCAAGAAAATTTATATTTAGAAACTTCATTACTTCCCATACTAAGTAGATGTACGAAACGAAATTCAAACTATTTCCTAAGATTCGTAAACATTAACTGGATTTGAGCAAAACCTAAAAGAATTTATAAATAATGTTTACTTTCGTACATCTTTAATAAAGATACAGACGTGGTCCACCACTTTATTGTCTTGTACTTTATTAGACACCCATGATGCGCAAACGTAATAGAAATTTTGGGTAAGGACATCTAGCATCAAACAAGATTAAACCCAATTCCCATGGAATACTAAGGGTTCCCTACCCCCAAGTCAAACTACTACAAGTGACGATTTTGACGAACGCGACGCGACCAAATTGAAACGAAAACGACGCGAATTCGTAGAGGGTGTCTCCATCATCTTCAGGGTGGATCATCGTCAGTATCGCTGACGTCTGCATGAGCGCCAGCCTGCTCTCTCTCGGGAAGTCCGCATCATGTGGTAGTACATAAAACAATCAAGAAAATATTAGTAAAATTCTTTACACCATTTTTCTTCAGTCGGGTAAGTTAATATTCAAGAAAACATTTATGATAAATCTTTATAGCCTCTTTTCATAGTTGGATAAATTTTCAAAGTATAACATTATTATTCATTTATTTATTTATTTTTTTAACCTTACAGGGAATCGAACCCGTTTCCTTTTTTATAATAAGGGAATTTTCTTTATGGACCTATATTATCCTATTATACATTACTAACTATATATATTCTATCCTAATACTGAATTAATCCTATCAATGATCATATTCAAAGTCAATTGAATAATTTGAACAGAGAATCGAACCTGTTACCTATCATTCTTATGGTTATTACCATATCTATAATCCACCTACTCAACAAATTACACTAAAGCTAACAATTAAAAGAAATGAAAATACTTTAATGAGACTACCTATTGATCTGTCATAAACAAAATGTGTAAAAGTTCCTTATAATATGTGTATTGAAAAAAAATTCTAAAATGACTATTGTATTAAACCTTATTTACATACCACCATTGCTTTAAAACATTCATATAAACAATAAACTGAAATAAAATCTCATTAGTAACACATTATTATTATTGTACTATCGACCTATTCGGCATAATATAAACTTTCATCATACACCGAATTATCACTATTCCTTTCATTATTCTTTTGTATATATTGTCTTTTAAACTTACACTTAATATGTTTGATTATTAATTGTTCATTATAAAAGTCTACTATCGCATTATTTCGAAGTAAGAAATCCTGTCCTAAGATGAGGTTATGCCTAATATTCTCTACCACAAGAAAATCGTGAATGAATAACACATTGTCTATCAATAATTTAAGGTTAACTTTCCCTATAACAGACAATTCTTTACCATCGACAGCTTTCAACTTCATATCGCTTTCATCAATTCGTTGATGAATTCTATTAACTGTGTCCTTTGACACCACAGACACTGCAGCACCACTATCAATGAGCCCTACAAACTCCTTATCACGACACGTTATATTAATTAAAGGTTTGGACTCACTTGTATATTGATTGTTGTTTTCTGACGGTTGGGAATGAAAATCTTGTCCATCAGGCATCGTCATAACATTTTCTTCATAAAAAAATTTCTTTGGATGCTTCTTCTTCTTTGATTTATACTTCTTTTTGTTCGTGTTACTGGAACAAAAAGTGCGGGGAATCATGTGTTCGGGAGGGACAATGGGATGAGAAAGGACACTTTGGGAGGAAATGAAGTTGATTTCCTTCTCTTGTTCTTCTTCATGCCTTATTATAGGCGAAATTTTCGCCGCTTCGAAGTTTGTCATTGGTGTAACAAACGATGGTTGGATCGGTAGATTCCAACAAATTTCGGCACTTTCGTCTCCGAAAATATCCTGTGCTTGACGTAAAATATTTTTTAAATGTGTTTTATCACTATATAACTGAAATGCGAAAAGATTTTTTGTATTTAAATTCGCATTTTTCAAGAACTGTCTAATGAAGCATTTGTCATCGATGACAGCTCCCGCTTTTGTGGCCAGCTCATCCAATACATAAAAATAGTGCAATGGCTCTTCTGACAAGCCTTGTCTTTGTGAGAAAAATTTTTCCAACGCATTTATCGATGATGGAAATTCCTCACGTATTTTCTTTTCTAAAATCTGAAAATTCTCACAAGACTCATTAATATTTTTATAAAATAACAATGCAGGTCCACTCAAATATGCCGACAACACAACTCTTTTTGTATCCTCGTTGAAATTATTGATAGCGGCGATGATATTAAATTGACGAAAGAAATCGGTTACATCACCTTTTCCGTCGAATGTGGTCCTGGTCTCCATCTTCATAAAACTACTTCTTTCTTGATTTAAAATTATTTTTCACTCGCGGTACTTGAAGCTAACGCGGCGCGTCCACCATATAGAGTTCTACCCAGAATGGATAGAACCTGGGGACGTGCTTATTAATTAAACGATACTGGTAGAGATAAATTATTTATTTCTTTTTATCATTCAGGCGAATATAAAGAAATTTTATCTAAATACGAGAGGAAGTTCTTGGTGCCTGAAGATCTAATCTAGAATGGAACCTTCTATCAAAAGACAGACGATTCCTTATTTCAAATCTTAAAATCATGACATTAACTTTTTTTAATATAACTGCCAACCGTAGGCATTGCAAAAGCAAAGAGTTTACCTAAACAAGGAGGTTATAACGTTAAGGACGTTACACTACCTACCTTACCAGACAGATTCAAATTAAAGAGGCATAATTAGTAAACATAATTACCACAAATCTTCAGTGACAACGGTCAGTGATATTATGTCACAAGGTATAATGATAGACGTGGGAACAAAGGAGCCCTTGACACGAAACGAAAATAATTGCATTGCGGTCCCTTAATCTGACTTATGACGTAACGTAGATAAATAGTAGCAAACTGAAAACGTAGTGCTCGTTTTTTGTTATTTATTCAATAAAACGTGTGTTCTTGTTACGTTAAAAAAACTGTGGCCCTTGTCATATCTCATGGTTGAGAATAACCATTCACAGAACGCCATTGAATTTTCTTCGTACCTGCTGCCAGAAAAAATATAGGTAGGTAGGTTGTTGCTATTAGAAGGCGTAATGGTTCGTCTAGCTGAGTACTTGTAATTAATTTGTCAATGAATCTTTTTGTTCGATACTTTTTTTTTGATCTTTAAATAACCTTAGAATCGGCTACTGCACTTAGCGTGCGGTCAAGCGAGTAGTAAAATCTATTATAAACTTTTTCCGGTAAATTTTGTGATGGCCTTAACATTGAACACTGGTTTTATAATAATAATTTGTCATGCGTTGTTGTGTTAAACCGTTTGATATCCTTTGAATGTTACGGTTATGAATTTTCCTGATTTTTTAATTTTACTGCAGTATTCGTTGGTAATTATTACAGGTATAATCGTAATTTTTAATATAATAATTTTGCACATATTTTTTTGTATTGTATTTATTGTTAGTGGAATCAAGCGCTCTCTCTACTTTTATGGGAAAATGTAAATTACATATCGTTTGTACGTTAAAGTAACTATTTTTTCATCAAAAATTTGTTGAATTAGCCTTAATTCCACCTAATGGCGCTCTTCAAAACTAAAAACAACAACTTAATGCTTCGAGAGACTGAAACCCGTACTATATGATATATTAAATATAAACTTAATATAATTGAACTAGGAGTCGGATAGATCGCTCATTGTAAATAACACCTATAAATAACATTGCAAGAAAGTTCAGATCACTCGCTAGTTAAAATATGATTTTGAGAAATAAACACATAGCGAAGACTTCGCTAATGCAAGGAATAAGAATGATCACAAGATGTATCACGTAAGGCTTTCTAGAGAAGCTGGGATGGCAGAACTGATGCCATTCCTCACGCAAATTAGTCACATGGTGTCGAGTTGCGGAAACAGCTCCGCGTACTACTAATTACTAATAACTAACATTTTCTTTTTTTTATTTCCGCAGCGCATTCTCCCGTAGCAGTCAGTAAAGTGGCCTACACTACTGCTCACGGCCTCGGAGGTTACGGTGGCTACGGAGGCTACGGATACAACGGCCTCGGCTACGGCGGCCTCGGGGGTTACGGCGGCGGCCTCGGTACGTACACACACGCACACACCAACCGTGAGAATATATCCTAATAACAATTTCAATTACAATTCAGATTCCATCGTGATAATTACCACATATACATGAGAAATACTATCAGTCTTATTGTAAAACGAAACAAGGGTATTGTGTTTTATATGTTTCCGTCGGCATTCAATATGTTGTATTGTATTGAATTGAGATTGTGCAACGCATAGCTAGAGAATCAACTACCTATAGAATTGTCATGAGAGATTTTCGCAAAACTTTTTTCAGTAAAAAGTTGATAAATAGGTATGTTGATAACGGTTCTATAATATTGTTTAAATCAACGTTAGTCAACGCAAATATCGCTACGAAACTCAATTTGCATCAGAATATGAGATCTCCAATAACAAACGGTAAACCAAATTCGATTTCGTTTATGGGTTGTGCGAAACCTTAATTAGCCTTTTGATCCGATTGCCGATTGTTTTCCGGCCAAATGGCACCACCTGACCGCGGCAATGTGTGATCTGCGTTTTAAAGCCTTTGGAGCTTAGAGGTTTAAACTATTCTCCTGAGATTGGAAATGGTGGGATTGCATGTTTAATATATTGTTTATAATACTCACATGTTTCATTTTTTCGAATCTTAAATAACAATAAAATGTCATGAAACGTCAGTGAATGAATTTGACTGATGATGATTAAGGGTAAAATGCCTATCGCTATCAACGGACAGAAAGTATGAGAAAACTATTGTATCTCCCCCTGCCCTACGATAGATATGACTTGACTTTTAATTTACGTACATATTCAAACATTAGTGGACTTCAGGTCTTTATACGTACGGCAACGGCTGGTTATACAATAGATACCTTACCATTTTTATTGTTTTAAATTCTACTGTATTTCGGTAAACACGATAAGCTTTTAGTAAAGGCTACATCTGCAGTCGTTAACACCCACTACTGTGCACTGTGACCTCATAATGGATCATGTCCCTACACTATTCATAGTAAATTATGACAAAAAGTTAAATAAATTAATTTGCAGGTTACGGCAACTACGGTGGTCACGGATATTACGGATCTCCCGCCGTCAGCTATGCCAATCAGATCGCTTACAACGGTTACGGCGGATATGGTGGATACGGCGGATATGGCGGATACGGCGGATACGGACACGGCCTCGGACACGGTTTGGGATACGGCGGACTCGGCTACTACGGACATCACTGAAAATATACCTTACATTAATACGACCCTTACGCAAAATTATCTTAATACTCACATTATGAAAACTTTATGTAGATACTATCGTAAAAAATTCTACTACCAAGTTTTTTTTTGAAATGTTACCATCGATATTTCATAATACTCAAGGGTCAAGTTTCACTGCCAAATTATTTATTTTAATGCCTAGTCGTTTGTTTGTTAGCTGGCCAGTTAAAAGTTTCAGCTAGTTGAGAACACTTACGGCAAATAAAATGGACCATTTTTCTACAACGATCTTTTTGAAGCTTTGTAAATATACGTAATGATAAAAGTATAAAATAACACTGATGTTTTTCTTTTCTCCTTTGGTCATTGACAGATTTTGGCATATAATATAAAAACATCCGCTTTTTGACCTTTCAGCTTATATTATGTTCAGAATATACTATATTATTTTACAAAAAGTTATTTGATCTTAGCAACAATTCTAAATCTAAACTAAACAAATGATTGTGATAATACATGATAGTTTGAAAGTTTGAACCTATCTTAATTTAAACCTCCTTATTAATAAACTAAGAGTAAGCTTGGATTAGTTACTCCATGTTTAAGGAACGAAATAATACCTTAAGTTTGATAAAAGTTGGTGCTGCTGTTTTCTTTGCAATGAAGTAAAATAAAACAACATGTCACCTTTACAAGTATTCTATTTAATTATTGTATTCTCTTAGTGCAAATTATCCAGTAAGAATAGTTGTTAAAATAGATCAGTAGGATTTGATTAATTTGTTTTCTCTAGCTTAACTTAAATATACTTAGATACATTGAAATCATTTACATCACTAAAGAAATACTTGCGCAGCGATATTTCACTCAAAGCTTACAGGTACCTTTTTTCTTTTTAGATAAAAAAACAATATGTTTATAACGGGACTGATTATATCTAGCTAAGTACTTATCTTTTCTCTTTAATTTATTGTTTTGTTCCTGAAAAATAAAATAATAATAAAAAGATAGGTATCTATTTCTTATTAAAAATAAAAGAAGAAGAATACATAAACAGTCTTATCGACTAACCTTATGATAAATTGCATCTATGAACATCAATGATCTACCACAAAAGCTTTTCGTTCAACGCGAGCTTAAGAAAAAAACTTATACATTTTTCTTAGACATGGGTCAAAACAAGATTTTATTTTTTTATGGTAAAACCGTAATATTTTTTATGATTACTTTGCTTCAAGCCAATCAATTTACTAAACAACTTTTGCACCTTTTAAATTTATATACACAACATATAATAAATGTAAAATGTTACATATACATTATTATAAAGCGCTTGCAAGGTTGATTTTGTAAAGTGAAAATATGAGGATAATTTATTCGTGGAAAATTAATAGACGTTTCCGCAATTTTCGTTGTGAAACTCGCAAAATACCTATGTGTTAAGCAAGGTGTGAATCGAATGAGAACTTTCTTAGAATAGTATACACGTGGCTCATTGTTGGTACATAATTATCCGACTTATCAAAAAATATTCCGTCGATCATGCGTGGCGGGTAGTTGACAGCTAGAAATTACATTGCTTATATTATACGTATCAAACGTAGTATCGTATCATCTCACATGGCCAAAGCGTACGGCAAACGGCGCATTAGCATAAATGAATTATTGACACCATGCAAAATAAGGCAACCGAAGAAAAAATGTATTATTCAGAAAGGTAAGCCGCAAGTTGGTAAAAACCGGGATAAATGGTGTGTGGAGGGGTACACTAAAGAGAGTTCGAACTGACTTTAGAAGTTCGGAGTCTGATATGCTTCAACTTTTACAGATGTTGAATTTATTTGGTGTGGAGAGGAGAGGGCAAGTGGCGCTTTCGTGAAACGCCTTACGGGAAAGTGTTTTTGAACACATCTTTAAGTGAAATTGCTAGAGAAAATGTTGAATGCATTATTCTTAAATAAATGTTTCGATTTAATGTAAGATTGCATGTTAACATTTCATTTATAAGATAAATGTGCCACAGTTTTTAATGTCAACCTCAGTGATTTAGAGAAGAATCAACTTTTTATTAAAGTTAATTTTATGAAAACTAAAGGGTCAGAGGATTAAATTCTTCTGAATGTTTATTATATTATTTGCTCAATCAGCCTTCTAAGACGAAAAGAAAGAAGGAGAAAAAGTAATTTGTCAAATTTTATTGCTACAGTTTCCTGTTGCGTAAGCGATACAGATATTACCGGGCGATATATTATAACTCTAAGCATTTGAACTGCGTGTTTGTGCTCCACTTCTGGTTTATTAGCCCAGCAGTACACAAATCAGTCAGAACTCTCGACACAGAGAGTTAATTAACCTAATGTGATTGTCCGGGTATGTTGACGTGACAAGTAGGTATTACATATAGCAGTATGTTACGCATTTATTTGTGTGTAATTAATAGTGGCAATACTGTTGTGACCTGTTGATGGACAATTGGACAACAATGTCGTATAATAATAATAATAAGCATGTATTTCGGATAACAATGGCTCCAAGTGGGTTAGTAACAAACAGATTATACTTAAAAACTAATTTAGTCAATAAACACATATGGCTTGAATAAATATATAAATAATTGACACACCAATGTCACCCCACGATGCTCCCGCATTTTTTTTTTGTAGCGAGGGGTCTAGTACCCATTGGACCCTCCTAATTGGACCTTACCTACAAAAAAGTGCCCGTTCGACCTCCTATCAAGAACATGGTGCCCATTGGACCCTCAAACACGTACTTAACGACACAATGAGAGCTATTGGAGCTCTTAACTATTTGGCTAATTCTTTTGGAACGGTAAAGTACAGTCGTGTAGTAAAGTAACATTGTAAAAGACACAAAAACACAAAGATTATAAATCTAGTATTTAATCAACATATTTATAAAATTCAAAACACTCATCATCAGTAACAAACCAATATAAATATTTACATAAAATATAATAATGAAATCACTGATCTTTTACTTTACTTTTAAAGCCAATAGAAATTATTTTTTATCAAATAGCTTAACTAAATTATAAATATAGTTTGTTCTATCACACAGATTAAGCACAATTATTATATATTCTAAATAATTGATAAAATAAATAAAAGCACAAAGGTTATAAATGTAAGTATTTAAAATCAACATATTTATAAAATTCGAAACATCAATCATCAGCAACAAACCATATAATATAATATAAATCACAGATTCTGTTATTTTACTTTTAAAAAGTTTTTTTTTTATCAGATATCTTTACTAAATTATACATACAGTTTTTATATCACTCAGATTAACTATTTAAGCACAATTATTATGTATTCTAAATATTCATAAAATAAAATACCAATGTAATATTTTCATATAACAATTTATAAAAAATGTTTTCTAATCATATTTTTACAATTAACGAGAAATTGCTTATTATAAAAACATACTTTAACTAAAGGATATGGTTCAAAAGTGGTAGTCGGTTTCCGGCAGGGACGAAATTATATATAATTTGAAAGTTTGTATAACATGAATAGATACTTTGATTTTTTTATTCATTACCGATTATTTTAAAATCGTGTTTAATAATTAAACAACTTTGTAAGTATGCTGGCCACCCTATCTTAGTAACGTCATATTTTAGTCCGTGGTGGCTTAAAACGCCAACTCAATCACTATGGCAAATGTCAATCAGTCCAGTCATGGATTATTATCAGAATTATTATCACTGCTTTTGTTACACATTGAACATAATATATTTGATGCTTGGCAACAAAAAATAGATAAATAAACTTGCCATTTGCAAATCAATTATTAGATAGATTTATGTTATTTTAATATAAAAAAGCGGGATAAAATAAAATTCTAGGTTTTTGTCAAACGATTCACAATTAAGTGCGCTGCATCTCATAAAAACTTGGAGTCTGCCAAAAGACCCACTATCAACTTAAAATTTAACAGTCTCCTTTTGTAAAACATTATAAATTACCAAATTAAATATTTAAGACACATATGTGAGTATTTTTTCTAAACAATGGCCTACGGTTGTAAGATTATTTTCTAGCTGCAACATAGTTCATAAATCGGAACGAGACAGCAATATTTCTCTCTCTCTCCCACATATGAGATCGGCGCCATCTTTTTGTTTAAGCGCAGAGATTGCTTGGGCTTGGAATCTATAACCTTCCTTTCATCAGGTGCTTAAGAGGAGTATAACTGCCGATAAAAACACTCAATCTCCCTCAGAATTTCAGTCTTAGCTCAAAAGATATGATATCTGTGCAAAATCCACCGTCATGTTGCTTAGATTGTCTAGATCCAAGCTGTTTTAAGGAACTTGGAATCAATCAAACTTTGTTCGATTTGAAAGGTCTTGTGGATTTGGTTTTGCGCTGTAAGGGTATTTATTGGTCAGTGTACGATCGCCCTATTGAGTGAAAACTTTTTACATTAATGATCATTAATGCAATTAAATTTAAAATTAATGTAATTAATGATCATTTCTTTAAACCTAAAGCACAAACATATAAAATGATCTTTAAAGAAAAAAGGTTTTACAATAGTTACGAAAATAAAAAGATATTGAAGTATTATCATTGTCACTTGCACCCTTATAACCCATAGAATAAAAATACATGTCAGTAGTGCAATATTTGGTTTTGGCTCCTTGTCAATACGAATAAAATAAAAATATACATTATACAAATTAAATTTTGATTACTTTTGATTCACTTTTTATTTTCTAAATATCTCCTTTATATCTTATAGTACGAGTACCTTAATAAAAATCCAAATGTTTTAAAAATTAGCTTTTCTTAAAGGTTACTATCATCTGTCTGCGTCCAGTATATATAGAGCAATAGACAAAAAACAGTTTTTTTTTTATTTTTCCTGAAAACTTACATTTTTGTAGTTATCTTTTTATTCTCCGGGGACGGCGAAATATCGACTACTTACTGGTTGGAGTCAGTACTTATACAGTATTTAGTTAGTGGCTTTATAATACCTATTATTAATTTTATTTTTGTCTGTAATTTTCTACATAACTGTACTGTGATTAATAAAACTGTTAATTAGGTCGAACTGGCAGTAGGGTATAATTTTGAAGGTCCAATGGGCACTTAAAAAGAGGTCCAATGGGCACATTGAATATAATTTTTTTAAGGAGGTCCAATGGGCACCAAAAAAGATGTCCAATGGGCACATTGAATATAAAATGTTTTAAGAAGGTCCAATGGACACCAAAAAAGAGGTCCAATGGGCACTTTTTGCTTTTGGGTCGAATCTTGAGGGTCCAATGGGTACTAGACCTAGCGAGGTAGGCAAA